ACCCATCGTCTTCCCTGTCCACTCTGTGATGTTGTCCTCCCATCTCCTTCTCTGCCTTCCTCTCGTTCTCTTTCCTTGTACGGTTCCATGTAGGGTTGAATTAGTACGTCATGGTACGTCTTAAATGACCACAGTTATGCATACGAGAGAATTTTTAAACATCATAAACTGTAAGGTTACGGCTGCAATATTGTATTATATACCAAAATATTTTTTTTTAAATGAGGATTTGATAAATGTGGACAAAGTTGTAGTTCAGGCAAGGAACTGTTTACGACAAATGAATACAAGAAAACAAGAGAAATCATAGACAACAACAACTACTACAATAACAACAACAACAATTGCAACAACACCACCACCACCACCACCAGAACCACCACCACCACTAACAACAACAGCAACAACAATAACAACAGCAACAACACCAACAGCACCACCCACCATCACCACCAACAACAACACCGACAACAAAAACAACACCAACAAAAAACCCAACAACAACAACAACAATAACAACAACAACAACAATTACAACACCAACACCACCACCAACAACAACAACACCAACACCAACAACAAAAACAACAACAACAAAACCACCACAACCAACAACAACAACAACAAAAATTACAACAAACAACACCAACACCAACACCATCACCACCATCACCACCAACAACAACAACAAAAATTACAACACCAACACCAACACCACCACGACCACCACCAACAACAACACCAACAACAACAACAACAGCAACACCACCACCGCCACCACCACCAACAACAACAAAGTGGTACAGCGATTATTCAGTAGACATGCAGACATCCAAGAGTTGTTGCTGACTGTCACTGAAGCCTCCTTGATGCCCTTCAAGATGGTGATAAACTGGGCTGTAAGATGCTACTTTGTTCATCAGTTTGTTTTCCTTGGTTTAGTTTTGTTTTTGTTTTTCAGCTGTTGTTTTAACGAATTTTAGCTTAGGCTTTGCATCGCAAAGCTCTCTTGGGGGCCTTCGTAGCCTACAGGTTATGGTGTTTACCTCTCATTCAAAGTTCCGGGTTCGAATCCGGATAGCGAAGGAACATTTTTTTCTCTAAAATAGTCTCCTTTCACATCCTTTCCTTCTCTCTCTCTAGCAATGCTCTGTCGTCTGCTTTCGTCTCCACTTTCTGCATCCACCCCCTCACCTCTTTTGTCCCCTCCTCTGGGCTCCTGACTCTTTCTGCAGCCTTTCTACTGCTACTCTTTGGCTCCTTCTTACTGCTATCTTTCAGCCACACCCCTGACCTTATGGTTGAAAGGATCTACACCCAGCCTTCTCGGACAAGGGTGAAAAATCTCGGAGGGCTCGTGTGCAAGTTGAGCACGTTAAAGATTCCTTTGTGGTCAAAAATGTGGTCTAAAATCGATAAGAGTAGGCTTCGGCCGCCACCCGGGCAAAATTCAATATTTCCTACCAGCTGAAAAACTTTAATGTGTCCCGCGCTCATTTAACATTATGCAGTTGCGAGCGCCGTAAAACACTTACCCAAAAAATATTTTAAAATGAGGAAGACAGTGCGTAAGGTAAAACAAAACGAAAAGTATCAGACGAAGAAGACAGGTAAAATAAACAAATGGGTCGCCACCACTCGGAGAACGAGCGACGCTTCTGTCCTAAGTTTCATGTTCACGTCTATTGTTAAAGACTGGGTAAACAGTGACCAGTTACCTAACTCATGACTTGAGTATAAGTTGTGGGCGGGGCTTATGGGTTATGACAGACAACACAGAAAGACAGACAGACTCTCTCTCTCCCTCTCTCTCTCTCTCTCTCTCTCTCTCTCTCTCTCTCTCTCTCTCTCTCTCTCTCTCTCTCTCTCTCTCTCTCTCGCCCTTTTTAACTTACAGTGGAACATAGGCCATCAACAACATTTCTCCAGCGGAGCCTATCTTGCGCATCCTTTTCTAGCTGTTTCCGTGATGTCTCTACCTTTTCCATTAATTCCGCTTGTACCGCTGGCCTCCATGTCATCTTTGGTATTCCTTTTTCATGTTTTCCTTGTGGATTCCAAGTCAAAGCCTGTCTGATGATGCTTGCGGGGGGTCTCCTCAGGGTGTTCCAAATCCATGTCCATTTGTTCACCTGTATGTCTTCCTCCCCATCCCTAGACTGGCAAAAGTACTTCCTATGGCCGCAGACGTACAAAGCCTGGCTACAGAGTGATCTGCCCCTGCTGGTGGTGACCTATGAAGACTTGGTGGAAAGTCCTCTCACACATATCATGCAGGTGAGGCCCCACGTACACAGGTTTATTTTCGTCAATTTCAGGCAAGGCTCACATGCAAATGAGCTCGTTTTCTTCAGTCACTAACTTCCAACGCCAGAGATAGTATCTAGCCTCTGCGTAATAAAAAAAGACAGTCTTGTCTAGACCTATACTTATGTCCCTTAGAAATACACACAAGAAACAATGATGAAATTGTAAATAAATAATATATCGCCTGTGCTGTCTGCTGTTCTCGTAATCATAACACACTGGGCTAATAAATATATAATATATATAATAATAGGTTTAGCTGGTCTGACGAGGTGGACGTGGATTTTTTTGAGTCAGTTTTACACCATGCAAAAACGTCGTACATTAGCATGGCCTGGAGGTGATCTTATTTTGGTGGGCGCGTAGATCAAGCTGGAATAAGGGCATTCAAAATATGTTGTATTTATTAATTGTTTTATTTGGGTCTTTTTGCGTTTTGTTTTAGTTTTGTTTTTGGGATTTTTGTTGTTGTAATGTACATGTAGGTGTTTTTGCGTTGACACAATTTAGATCTTTGAGGAAGTGGGCTTCTGATCCTCCCTGTCGGTGAGAGGGATACACCACCCCAGCACAGAGATCGAGAGAAAGAAATACGTGGAGAGGAGAGAGATGATTAATTCTTAATCTTCAGGGGATAGGGCCGAGACAAACTGGCACAGCTGTTTATATAAGGAGGACAAGGAGAAAAGAGGTGGTGGATGGGGAAAGGGGGGGAGGTAATATCTGTAAAACTAAAACGATAGTTTCATCATCTATACTCATACTTTCTTCAACAGAAGGTTAACTTCACTAAAAACTAAATCGATAATTTTATCTTCTTTACTTCTACTTTTGTAAATGAGAGTAATAATAAAACGTAATTCAAATGTTTTATGTATACCTGTTTTGTGTTTTTATGGCCCTCTGTACAGCCAAGAAATTTCGCTGTGGGACAATAAAGTATCATCTTATCTTTCTTATCGTTTATTTTATCTTATCTTATCGTTTATCTTATCTTATCGCTTATCTTATCTTATCTTATCTTATCTTATCTTATCTTATCTTATCTTATCTTCAACAGATTGTCAACTTCTTGATGCCTGTGCCGGACAGAATCGATTACGAGTGCGCCATGGAAATGAGTCGATCATCCCCCCAACTGGTGTACGATTACCGGGAAATCACCGGCATTTACAGCAAGGAGAGGCGCAGGATCAACCGGAATATCGACGAGCTGGTGGAAGTCGCCAGGACCAAGTACCCCGGTATCGTGAAGAGGCTGGAGAGCTATAGAGCGTACAGCGCCGCATAACGAGGAAACACGATTACAAAATGTGTCAGGACGTGGTAGAGTAGGATCAGGCGCTCGTCAATGTTTGGGCGTCTTTTTTAGTTAAGTTTTAGTAGAGCTTTTACGGCACTTGCAACACAATAAGGTCCTGTAAGTGCCGAAGAATAGAGGTGTTACTAGAGAGTAACATACACAAAAAAGAAGGAGGAGAGATAAGGACGATAGATGTTTGATAGGAAAGAAGGAGCAAACATCACCAGAGCACCCGCCAACCACCCACTTTGGGCATCTGGAGTTATTGTATTATGTTCAAGCTAGCTCATTTGACCATATTTTGATGAAAAAAATACACGCCTATCTTGAATAGAAGTCGAGATATTTGTGTTTGAAGAAGATCTGGATCGCCTGGTTTCAGAGGTAAAATTAGCGAGGAAATGACCACCAAGGTTTGGTGATTTTCAAAGCTTGAGAGTCCTCGGAAACTGAACATTTGTATTTGTTGTGCCTTTAATATGTTTTTCATTAAAATCCCCACAGAAATATGTTTTTAAAAGGACATAACATGTTTAGCTAAAAAAAAAAAAAATTCGAAAAAAACCATTGTCAAACTGGAGGAAAAAATGTCAATATCTTCGATTTTATTGTTTTGACGAGCTCCTGGTTTCACCATGATATCTCACAAATGCACATTTCATGTGTCACGACATGGCGGAATCATGCTCTCGTCAATTTGGGGGCACAAGGAGCTATTGGTATCTTTTTAAAGTAAAGTGCGTTCATTTACTTTGTTCAAAGATCGTACATAACAAGATAATTCCCTCAGCCAAAAAAGTGTACCGCGGAAGTGTGCCCATTGCTTCAAATGGCGCTGCAGTCTTTGTTTTGAAGCTCTCTCTCTCTCTCTCTCTCTCTCTCTCTCTCTCTCTCTCTCTCTCTCTCTCTCTCTCTCTCTCTCTCTCTCATTTCTCCTGAAAAAGAATATGAATAGCACAAGTTATTGTGTTTACTTCTTAATTATTTTTAACACAAGTAGGGTAACTCTTTTCTCAAAGTCCGCACTTTTTCGAAGAGGGCACCACCGACTTTTAAGGACACTTTTAACTTTTCTCAAAGAGAGGAGGGAACTATCTTGTTGTATCCGATCTTTATTTTTGAGCTGTTATTAAGCTGTTTGCAGGAAGATGGAGGACCTGAACACTGGAAAGACAAAAGCTTTTATAGGACAGAGATCTTTTACGGAAATGTAGGCAAGAGGACATGACCACCATAAAAACAAGGAGAAGATGGAGATGGATTGGGCATGTTCTGAGAAGAGAACCAGACTCTATTGTACAGACTGCCCTCCACTGGACACCCGAAGGACATCGCAAGAGGGGCAGACCCAAAGAGACCTGGAGACGCACAGTAGAGTCTGAAATGAAGTCCTGGAACCATTCGTGGGGGACGTTGACCAAGATGGCCCAAAACAGACAGAGCTGGAGATCCTTTGTTGCTGCCGTAAACACCAGACGGCGGAACGGGTAGTAGGTTAAGTTAAGCTTGTTATAGAGAGGAAAGCATGATTACAAAATACACATTTCAGGTGTCAAGACACGACGGAATCAGGAGCTCGTCAATCTTGGGGCACTTGCATCTATTGGTGTCATCTTATAGTGCATTCATTTGACTTGCTTTTCTTCTTCTTCTTCTTCTTCTTCTTCTTCTTCTTCTTCTTCTTCTTCTTCTTCTTCTTCTTCTTCTTCTTCTTCTTCTTCTTCTTCTTCTTCTTCTTCTTCTTCTTCTTCTTCTTCTTCTTCTTCTTCTTCTTCTTCTTCTTCTTCTTCTTCTTCTTCTTCTTCTTGCTATTATTATTACTATTATTATTATTATCATTATAATAATTATTATTATTCGTATTATTATTATTATTATTATTATCATTATTATTATTATTATTATTATTTCTTTTCTTTTTTTGGGCGGGGGGGGGGGGGGTGGACGGTCTATCCAACGGGAACAGAGGTGGAGATTGCTATGGATGATGGCGGAACTTGAAGGTGACATTAAATATGGTTTCAGTATGCAACGGAATAAAGGATGGTCACGTCCCTCGAGATTCATTGGAGCAGAGGAAGAAAGGACTATTAACGCTTACATTGCTTAAACGCAATCCCACATTGTCACTTATCACCAATTTTATTTCTAAAATCACTATTGCTCTTAGAACAATGGCTTGCATCTATATTCCTTGAATCTCTATCTGTAACAGTTGTTTGTTTTACGAAGTATGCACGTACAGTCAAACCTGCCATGATGGGCACCTGTATAATACGGCCACCTGTACAAACGCCACTCTCCACCCCCACCCCCCCCCCCCTTGCGTTTTTTCTATAATAATATAATTTAACTGTGTAAAACGACCACCTGTCCAAAGCGGGCGCGGCCGCCTTATTTTAACAACCGACGGTCAAATGTACCTGCCTCAGGCGACCAGGCGTGGTCACTCATTGCCCGACGCTTTGTCTTAAATTTTGAATCGGCCCCTCACGCTGTGGACAGACTGTCATAATTCATTCACTTGTCGTTATTGTCAGTCCCTCCAATGACTGTTTATCCAAGTTGACCAATTGGTAGGCCTAACAATAGATTTGCAACTGCTGGTGAGGGAAGCGTGGGATCCGTCATAACCTATAGGTTCCGCCCACAACTCAAGCACAAATCGTGTGTGAGGTGACTGGTCACTGTTTTGTTTACCTAATCTGTAACAAAGTAACAATGGACAGTGACGTGAACTCGTGACAGAAACGTCGCTCGTTCTCCGAGTGGTGGCGACCCGTGTGTTTGTTTTACCATGCCACTCGGTTTTCATCGTCTTACTTACAAATATTTCGTTTAGTTTTTCCTTGCGCAAATTCAGCAAGAAAAAGAAAGCTAACAAAAAAAACCCCCTCCAAAACAAACAAAACCAACAACAACAACAACAAAAACTTCTTACAGAATCCAAATTTATTTTTCAAAAGAAAACAAAGACCCTTTTGAATTCGCTTTACTGCAGCCCTAAGTCTGAGATCAGCCCCAGTTTGAACACCAGAAGGGAATTGTTAGTTTTCTTCTTCTTTTTTTTTCTTTTGTCCTGTGTCCTGATATTTGTTGGTTACATAAAAATGTATGGACCTAGTGCAAATTGTTATGTTTTCTAGGAAAACGAAACAAGAAAAAGGGGAATTGTTTAGTCGGTGCTGCTGCTGCGCCTGCTGCTTCTGATGATGATGATGATGATGATGATGATGATGATGATGATGATGATGATGATGATGATGATGATGATGATGATGATGGTTATAATGATGGTGATGTGATCGTGATCATGATAATGATTATTTATGGTGACGACGAAGATGCTCTAATGTTGAAAATAATGTGCATATTAATCTTAGTGTTAAGTGTGTTTCATTTTTTTTTTTTTTTTTGGTTTGGTGCTTACTCTAGATCCCCGCCAGGCTGTCCTGTGTGGCAGGACACAATGCTCATACCCAACTCCTCGAATAGAGTGACCAAAAATTTAGAAATAATTCGTCATCTTCATCAATGGCATTTAATAAAAGTATGCCAAAAAGTGAAGACATTGTTAGTGTGTTTGTTGCCCTACGTCTATGCTATCATATTTTCAAAACAGTGAAAGGAGTGTGGCCAATAACCTTAAACTTTGTAATATTTTTCATAGTCTATGCAGTTGCGTTCGGTAACAAAAGACTAACAGAGGGTGCCCACCAGCGAGAGCGGATACGGTCGGGTCGGGTCGGGTCGGGTCGGGTCTTTGGGTCGATTCGTTTTCTGGTGGTTTCAGTGCACACTAGAAGCCCGCCATGATTGTACCCGATGACCTGGAAGTTAAAGTAGAGAAACCTTTATTTAGCCTCAATGGCTTCCAGTGCTCCTTTCCGCAGTTCCCCGATGCAGTGCTGCGGCATCCTGGAATCCTATAAACATGGTTACAATAGTTACATGGATAACTTTCTATTATCAAAGATCGTTCATGAGAAGATAGCTCTAGTTCACACGGCCAAAAAGGTGTCTGCGGAAGTCTGCGCACTGATTTGGATGGTGCTGCAGTCTTTGTTTTGAAGCTCTCCTTCGTTTCTCCAGAAGAAGAATACGAATAGTACAGTTTGTTGGTATCACTTTTGATTGTTTTTCACACAAGTAGAGTAACTCTGCTGGTAAAGTCTGCTCTTTTTCAAAGAGGGCGCCACCGGATTTTGAGTGTCAACATGGTCACGTGACTCAGCCTAGTTGTGATTGGCTGCAAACCACACGATCGCGCGATTCGCTGGCCAGAAACAAACGCGGTTTTTTTTTTAGGTCACCGACCGAGTCCATCAGTATGCGCCACGACGGATGCTTTTCGCCCTCGATTTACGAAAGAAGGATGAAACCACACCAGAGCACCCGCCAACCACCCACTGTGTCCTTTTCTGCAAATTGGTGCAGAGCGCTGCTATGTTCCGATCAGCAAAAGAATATCTTGTAACAATAATAGACTAGCCTTGTTGCTACGCCGCGTGTTATATAGGATTAGTACAACTGTTTATCCAATTCGTATTCACTGCGAGCATGTCATATCATTAAACATGATGTTCCAAAGAAGACAATAAATACATGTGGGATTTTTAAAATATCTTCTTCTTTAACTCTCTGAGTACACGCAGTCTGGTCATTCAACAAATCTTGAAGATGTATTGTTTTCTGTTTTGGAGCACGTTGAAACAGCAACAACCACCCCCTTCCCCCCTCCCCAGCTCCCCCCGTCCTCCCCCCACTCCCCCCCCCACTCCCCCCCCCTCAAGTTACTAGGTACGTTATTTTAACAGATACTTAAATTCTATTATCTGTATATGAAACTTAAAAATGCAACAACATGCAGGAAATTAAATATGCTAATTTTTATTTTTGATTTGTATATGGTGATGGCGCGGTGGCGGAACGGTTAGTGCGGACCCCTCCTGCCCACCCAACTGTAATGGGTACCTGACTTCGAGTTGGGGAAGTAAAGGGGACGTGGAAAGGAACTGGCCACCCTACCACAATATGCCGAAGACCCAGGAAGTTGTCTCACTAACAAGACAATCCCCAATGTCCGGATTGGATGTGGGAACAAGTTTACTTTTTGGTGCCTGGAAATGAGTGACGATATTGCCTGCGGTTTGCTGCTGATTGGGCACAACGATGTGTCCTCAACATTAAGACCATGGGCTGGCCTGGATATGGCAGAATGTTCCACGGTAGTTCGTGACGGTGAAAGATGGAGGTTCATTACACGTCAACCTCTGAGTCAGAGATGACACCTCCAGGTATCCAGGTGATGAAGACTACAGGGGAAAATCGACGACGGTCACAAACTGAAAATCGTGAGGGTAACAATTTTGAAGGCTGTTGACTCATAACTGTATTTCTGTTCAACTGTTGGTTGATTATTCTTGTTAGATTTCTCATTCAACAACACTTAACAATAAACCACCAGTCAAACAAATGTGAAGTTATGAGTCCACAAGCTTCTAAAATACGCACCCTCACAATTTCCACTTTGTGACTACCGTCGTTTTCCCCATATGCTCATATATTGCTCTGCATGGTGAGCGGAACCTATCCATGTCGGTATTCATTCAAGTAAAACGGATACATTTAGGACACGGTGTCCTAGTTATGCCAACGTTCCACTTGCGTTGACACCCACCCTCTGAAGATCCTTTCTCAACTTAAAAAACCCAACTCAACTTAACTTCTTGCTAAATAAAATACATTTTTTTAAAACGTTGAATAACCTTGCTGAAACACTGGCCTATTCAATAATACAATACGTCGGCCAACGAGGCTCATTATCTTTTGCCTAGACAAGTTCTAGACGTCATGTTGTTATTATTATCTTTTAAGCCTTCCAGGGGGCTCTCGTGGTCTAGAGGTTAAGGTGTTCGCCTCTCATTCAAAGGTTCAAAACTGGGTAGCAACGGAAAAATTTTCTTCTCTAAAATTGTATCTTTCCACCTCGTTTCCTGCTCTCTAGCAATATTCTGTTGTCTGCTTTCCTCTCCACTTTCAACCCCCACCCCTCACCTCATTTGTCCCTTCCTATGCCTTTTCTGCAGCCTTTCTACGGCTACTCCTTGGCTCCTTCTTACTGCTGTCTTTCAGCCACACCCTTGATCTTCTGGTAGGAATGATCTACACCAAGCCTTCTCGGACAAGGGCGAAAAATCTCGGAGGTCCCGTATGCAAGCTGTGCATGTTAGAGATCCCTTGATGGCTTAAAATAGATAAGAGAAGGCTTTGGCCGCCACCCAGGCAAATTTCTACCAACTGAAAATGTTCAATGTGTCCCGAGCGCTCATATGACCTTCTGCAGTTGCAAGCGCCATAAAACACTTACAATACATGTCATAAGCCTTCCAGCAATAACCCAATGGTTTGTTGCCAGAAAGTTCCATGTTTAACTATTACTCTGTACAACGGTAGCATATTGGGACGCTTGTCCACAAACACGTCCAAATAAGATCCAATTTTTTTTAAAGTTTCATCTTAGAATTACATTGTACTCTGATCAATTTAAATTGACTTTACCTGCCAGTTTTGTTAAGCCAGGGAAACTTTTTTTCCATTTTTAACCAGTATGTTGACTAGTAGTGTTACGCTACCGGACTCGTAACCGTGAGGTTGCAGGTTCGGGGGTTCGAGCCGCAGGCCCGACGTTGTGTCCTTGGGAAAGGCACTTTACACGAATTTTCCTCACTTCAACCAGGAAGCGCATATAGCTTGCTGTTGAGCGGGGATATGCGCTATTCAAATGCTATATATTATACAAATACTATCTATTAGTAGTTCTGGAAGTATGACGAAATTGGAATACCTATCTTAGAGAGTACACATATTATACGCATGTTTCTGAATCCAGAGTTCCCACTCGTGCAAGGTATCATGACATTCTGCTCACTGTGTCTCCCAGTGAACTCAGTGAACTCTCATGTCAGCTGTTTGTTTGGGGGTTTTCTACACACAAAGAGAGACAAATACAACTACTTGTGTGCTTACATGGGGAAATCAAGTGCTCGTCAAAATAAGGAAATAGACGAAAATTACGTATTTCTATCCACTAGAAAATTAAATTGTATCGAATTTGCTTTTTCTTGAATTTTTGTGTGTTTTTTACAAAATGTGTGTATTTTACTGAAAAATGTTGAATATAGGCTCAACAAATGTAAATTTACAGTTTTCAAAGGCTCTCAAACTTTGGAAGTAACCAAACGTTGGCGGCCATTTTCTCGTTAATTTTATCCCTGCAAACAAGTGATCCCACTTCCTTCAATCGCAAGACAAGTGAACAAGCTTTAAGACGATACCAATCACTCCATTTGCCCAAAAATTGACAAGCGCCTGGTTCCACCTTGCCATGTCGTGCCACATATAGGTGGGTGGTACAAATGTTCTCCCCTCTCAAAGCAGGCGTCGTCAAACTCTAACGTGGGTGGGGCACGCTACAACAAGATTGACAACCACTCGGGGAGACTGAAAAACAATTTTGTTTTGTTTGAAAAAACAGGGGGGGGGGGCAGAGGAATGGAGAGGGGTTAAGATACAGTTTTGTTTTGTTTTGTTTTCTCTTGTTTGGTTTTGTTTTTCTCTTAGTTCCGACGTAATTCCAGACAAAAACTTCCCGAGGCCACGTCATGTGACTTGGAATCACGGGATGTGTGACGTCATGTATTCTTTGAAAACCATATTTTATGGTCGTGGTGCTATTGGTTTTGGAGTGGAACTCGTCGTTCCAGAATTCAAAGTTCCACATCGGATCGGAATTATTTCTTTAAAAAAGTAATAAAATAAAAAAAGCCCACAAAAATCAAACACTTTTTGTGAAATATTAATTCTTCCGAGTCAGTGGTGTGTTTCTGTTGTGGGTGCAAGTTAAACTTTCTCTAGAAATATGGATTTGAAGTTTTAAACCACCCACCCCCACCCCCTTTTTCACACACCTACACACACACACACACACACACACACACACACATACGCACATACGCACACTCACACACACACGCACACACACACATACACTTGGGTGACGTTTAAACAGTGAGGGTTGAATGGAGGGGGGGTGGAGGGGTAGTTAGGGTATGCTGGGAATGGAGCCTCCATTTTCCAAAACTACATGACGTTTAAGAAGTTCTTGAATTCAAAGAAGGTTGGCATGTGACTGTTAGTAAGTTATACTGTAAGTGGAGTGAAAGTGTGACATTACTAGTTGAGTTTACTTTCGCACTGTAAGGACATAAACATAGCAGGGTTTTAGAAAACCCCAAACTCTAAGTGTGAACCCGGAAAATGGGAGAGAGATCCAGATAAACCAATTATGAGTCACAGCATGATGGAACCAGGTCCTCGTGACAAGTTTGGGGGCGTATGAAGTTATCAGTATCTTTTTTAAACTCTGTTATTTCTTTTGCTTTTGCTTCAAAAATCTATCTTGACTTCATTTGATATATTTGTGAAGTGTGTTGACAAAATGAGTTACTTCTCAGATTCAAGCCTTAAGGAAATAAGCTTGGTGAAGTTTTTACATTTTATAAGTATGAAATAATATAAGGCAAGTTGTACTGAAAGAATATGACATTAATAGAAAATCTACAAATTTGACCCTAGTGCCGATTTGTGGCCAATATCTCCATTTATTGTGGATTGTGAGAAGTAACTCTTTATGTCAGAACGTCTCACATTTGAGATTAAATGAAGTCGGGTCGCTTAAATTCAAGGGTGCGCCAGAAGATTAGAGGTGTTACAAGAGAGTAACAAACATAAAAAAGAAAAAGGGGAGATACAGTGGATAGATGTATCATAGGAAAGAAGAAGCAGACCACACCAGAGCATCCGCCAACCACTCCCAAAACTAAAAAAGTCAAGGGTAATATATAACACAGAAAGGTGTTTTTAAAAGGACATAAGATATATTGAGCCAAAAAAGATTAAATTGAAAAAACTAATGACCAAAGACCAGAAAAGTGCCAGTTTCTTTGATTTCATTATTTTGACGAGGCCTGACTGCCCCCACGATGCCTCACATTTTATTCCAAACAGGACATGGAACACGCATAAATAACAATATGTGAGGCAGCGTGGTGGCATCAGGCGCTCGTCATATGTGAGGCAGCATGGTGGAATCAGGCGCTCGTCATAGTATTTATTATCCTGAACAGGATGGTCCCCACTGCACACCTACAATATCAAACCACCCGCTAGTGG